CTTGAGATATATCCATATATTGATCGATGTACGCGCCTCGGAGTCCAAAATGCTGCCGCGCATCGAGATCACACAAATGCCTATTTCTACGCATATTGAAACTGTTGACGAGATATATGTTTATATATGGATTAGTTCGGATAAGCTAATGATCTATTGTATCTTTGGGCTATACTCACAAAATAGTATTAACAAGTAGCCTATTAGATGATAGAATAATAGCTTAACACTTAAAACACTTGTGTCATACTCAAATAAAACTAACGAGACGGCCACAAGTACAAAACTGAAATGAACATCAACACATTTATAACAATTAGCATCAATGTGAGTATCTATATATATATATATATATACGTAATATATATGTATATGTGCATATTGTAACATTTACCATATGAAGTGAAGAGCCAAGAGAAATGCACCGGGTACTACCAGATCATCGGAGCCCACAGACCAGCGACGCCTGAAGACCACAAGTCCAGGCATCTGCAATGAGTTGAGAATAAAAACATATAGTAAATAATATATATATATATATATATATATTAAATATAAGCTAAAAAGCAATAGATAGGGGTGCTTTATCTTTGTAGCAATTCCTTATAAATATACACTCATTTACATAAGGCAAATCATTCAAGTGAATAATCACATTTCGACTTTGACTCCATATAACTAGCTAATTGGCATTGTTTAAATGTTGTAGAAAATTAATTTAAATTTCTACTTAAATTCTTTAGTTAGAGTTCAATGTAACCCTAGTAACTAAGCCTTAATATATACTATATAAGTTCCTTGAAATGCAGTCGTTCACTCGGCGCATGCAACAGCTTCGCTTACTCTCCCATATCCGTCACACTGCCAGACCCGAGCCCACCCACAGTTCCATTCCCATCTCCCACTTCCAATCCCTTTCCCTTTCGCATTCCTATGCCCGCTGCGAATCCCAATCCCATTCTTAGTTCTGCTTGGAATGGCTTTGTATGTGCAGCTATGCAGTCGTTGACGGCAACACCTCGCAACTCGAACCTCGAAGCCTCAAGCTCGGAAGCTCGAGCCTCGACCCTCGCACATCGCACATCGCAGCTCGCACATGGAACTCGACTAGCAACGACAGCTTGGACAGCTTGAGGTTGTTGCTACCGTTGCTATTGCTACTAAATCGCACACTACAACAAAAAGTAAGAAAAGAAAATGAAAAATGTAAAACTAATATGAATGCGCTCGGCCAGGAGGCACCCTTTAAGTATAAATTAAGTATAAGTATAAGTATAAGTATAAGTATAAGTATAAGTATAAGTATAAGTATAAGTATAAGTATAAGTATAAGTATAAGTATAAGTATAAGTATAAGTATAAGTATAAGTATAAGTATAAGTATAAGTATAAGTATAAGTATAAGTATAAGTATAAGTATACATAAGTATAAGTATAAGTATAAGTATAAGTATAAGTATAAGTATAAGTATAAGTATAAGTATACATAAGTATAAGTATAAGTATAAGTATAAGTATAAGTATAAGTATAAGTATAAGTATAAGTATAAGTATAAGTATAAGTATAAGTATAAGTATAAGTATAAGTATAAGTATAAGTATAAGTATAAGTATAAAATATAAGTATAACTATAAGTATAAGTATAAGTATAAGTATAATTATAAGTATAAGTATAAGTATAAGTATAAGTATAAGTATAAGTATAAGTATAAGTATAAGTATAAGTATAAGTATAAGTATAAGTATAAGTATAAGTATAAGTATAAGTATAAGTATAAGTATACAAAGTATAAGTATAAGTATAAGTATAAGTATAAGTATAAGTATAAGTATAAGTATAATAAGTATAAGTATAAGTATAAGTATAAGTATAAGTATAAGTATAAGTATAAGTATAAGTATAAGTATAAGTATAAGTATAAGTATAAGTATAAGTATAAGTATAAGTATAAGTATAAGTATAAGTATAAGTATAAGTATAAGTATAAGTATAAGTATAAGTATAAGTATAAGTATAAGTATAAGTACATAAGTATAAGTATAAGTATAAGTATAAGTATAAGTATAAGTATAAGTATAAGTATAAGTATAAGTATAAAAGTATAAGTATAAGTATAAGTATAAGTATAAGTATAAGTATAAGTATAAGTATAAGTATAAGTATAAGTATAAGTATAAGTATAAGTATAAGTATAAGTATAAGTATAAGTGTAAGTATAAGTATAAGTATAAGTATAAGTATAAGTATAAGTATAAGTATAAGTATAAGTATAAGTATAAGTATAAGTATAAGTATAAGTATAAGTATAAGTATAAGTATAAGTATAAGTATAAGTATAAGTATAAGTATAAGTATAAGTATAAGTATAAGTATAAGTATAAGTATAAGTATAAGTATAAGTATAAGTACAAGTATAAAATGAAGTATACTCATATATATATGTATATGCTTTAGCTATACTAAGCCTTAACAACCAACACACCCCAGAATCTTGACAGGGTATTCGAACTATGTTAAACAAACTTGCAAACATAATCGTCCTATGAGGAGGGGCAGTGGGGGGAGGTGCACAACGAACATATGCATACGAAAATTCCTGCATTATAACATTCCCAGCATGGGAACAACGACGTCTTTAAGGTTGCGACCCATCTGCGTATACGTGACATCTATGTAACAATGTCGTTACCAGAAGGCTTACATGCATATTTGAGTAACGTTTGGCTGAACTCAATCGCTTCAGCTTCCACAATAACTGCGCATTCATATATGCATTACACAGATGATATAGTATGTGGACATATAGACATATGTATGTATATTAGGCATAATTAGTTGTACGGCTAATGATTTGTAGATTTACAAGCGCACTTTGCCTCTTCATCTACATATGTATATATGTATGTATAGATTGTAGTATGGCGTATAATATTTAGTCATGGATGATAGTACTGCGCGTATGACTAAAGCGCTAAAATATTAATAGATCGAAATGGAAGCGGACCTTGAACGCTGATTGTTTTCACTTATGTCCAAACAGTAGAACATGTGTATAATTGGCGCGAGACAACAACAACAACAGTATCAGCAACAAGAACAACAAGAGCAAAAGCTATTCGCATCAGTTTGCCTATAAAAGAATTATGATTCTCTATACACTATAAGTATACAAATATGAATACTATGTATATTTAAATATTTGAAATGTGTGCTTAAATCATATTTGGCTTAGCTGACTGTACTAATTTGTAATCATTAGAAAACCACAATTCTACATAAAATTAGATGAGTCTAAAAACATATATAAATATGAATATTAGTTCGAGTATAAGTGTAAGTATAAGTATGAGTACAAATGAATGTGAGTAGAAGTATTAGCAAATGTATAAGTCTCAAGTATAAGTTTAAGTGTAGTTATACGCTATAAGAGTGAGTATAAGTTATAAGTGGAAGTCTAAGGTATATATGTATATAAGTATAATATGTGTATAAGCATTATGTTAGGCTCATGCTAAATAGTATTCTTGACCGCCGAAGAATACTATTTCACATGAGCCTAACATAATGCAAAACCTAATAGAAATATACATCATATATTTAAATCGTATTTCGGTACACCTAGGCTTTGATATATAAAATTATATTACTTTGTATTTCAAACAATAAGTTTGATCGATAAATGTTATCAATTTGCTAAGTTGTTATCAACATTTGCTATCGATAAATTGTAAATATAAGCTGGTAGAGGCTGACTTGCCTTATATATGAGTATACGTCCATATATACATATACAGCTTTTACCTTCAATCTGCCTTCTAGGGCTAACCGATTGCCACTAGAGTCGGAAATGCAGCAGCTGTTGCCATTATAGTCTTTGGCATTGGCCCCGTCAATAGATATAACGCCTCGTCTGCTTCTTCTTACTTTCTTCACGCGATACTCGCCAACGGCATTGACATCGGTTTTCAAATTATGATATTTCAGTTAGCCAAGGCCTAAGGGCCCACTCTTGCATTTAATAGAGTTCGCAATTTTGCTTTGAGCGTCGCAATTAATGGCAATTACATGGATTTGAATGCTTCTATATATATGTATGTGTATGTATGTGTAGATGTATATATCGACCATATACCACCATGCACCGTTGGCCATTTGGTGAATGAATAATTCAGTCGCGGTTGTGGCGAATGCATATTAATAATTCCAGTCACGGTTATTGGCAAAATAATTAAATGTGTCCCGGTCGATGATTAAATAGAGCAAAAAGCCACCTCATGGCCTGAACATCGTAAATCATACTTAAACTATACCAATATCTACAAATATAGCATATAAACATATATATTATATAGATCACATTTCGATTATATTAGCTGTTGTTCTGATAAGATAAATTTCTGCATGCAATTTCATCGTTATCTATCTATGCCTGAGAAGCCAATGAACCCAATAATCTGGCCGTAATAAACCTAAAAGAACTATCATCATATACGAGCAAATTAGTCAAATAATATACAATATTATAACGTAATTGTGGCAGATTAGTTCATATATTAAAATAGATAACATTTGTCATATTTATTGTTATCGATTGCTTATATCGAACTTAATCAAATCCCGTAAAAGCTTGGCATTATAGCTTTTACGGGAATTCACAATTTTTTGCTAGTTTAGGTTTTTGATTGAAAGACAAGATGGTGTGGGTATTTCCTATTTAAACATTTTCTAAAATTTCATCAAAATTTCGATATGTAAAGTTGCTCATGGAACCCATATTGACTTATATACCTAGCCAAGTACGTATTTCAAGCATTTAAGCTCACATAATTTGATCGAAACCTAGATTTTCTCTCTAATATAATCCATGATTTAGCCTCTGAAATATCTCTGCTTTAAATTGAAATAATAACACTATTCCACTTAGACTTATGCTCGCTCTAGCTCTACAATTTTCAGACTTTTATATCACAAAGGGAGAAATATTTCGTCCTTCCCTTGATTTCAAAGTCAAAATGTGAACTTTCATTTGAAATCAGATTTGATAGAAATTAACTTTATTTTGGATAAATTTGTAGTTTTGGAAATAAATTCGAAATTATGATCACAATCGTGGAGGATATCTTTGGCATTGCGACCAATCCATTTACTGAGCGGGCGCAGGTGGTGCGACGCTATACAATTAGCAACTCGAGCCATTTGGCCGTTAGGATCATCCAATTGGGCGCTACCATACAGAGCATCACCTGTATGGATGCCTATCATAATATTGATGATATAGTATTGGGATTTGACGACATCGCCGGCTACGAGGCGCACCGAAGTCGACGCTTCGGCTGCATGCTGGGACGTGTGTCCGACTGGGTGGCCAACGGTGAATTCATGATGGACAGACGCAAGGTGCGGGTCACAAAAAATTGGAACAATAAGCATCAGATGGATGGCGGCTTCATTGGGTTCGATCGCATCATTTGGGACTTGCACACGATACTGCCCGACGGCATTACGCTCTGCCATCAGTCCGAGCACGAGCACGAGGGCTATCCGGGCAATCTGATGGTGCTGCTCCACTTCACCATGGACGACGACAATCGATTCTTTATGCGCATCGAGGCGCGCACCGATCAGACGACGCCCGTCAATATCAGCAATCACTGCTACTTCAATTTGGCCGGACAGAAGGCCGGCCGTAAGGGCATACTGGAGCATCGTCTGGTAATTGACGCCAACGATACAATCGAAACGAACGACGACAATATGCCGACGGGTCGATTTGTGAGTGTCAGCAACACCGCCTACGATATGCGTGTGCCGGCCTTCATTGGGGACCGTTTGCGGCAGTTCGAGAATAAGCCGGTGTCCGGGTTCGATGTGTGCTATGCCATCGATAAGGATTTCGATGCGAGCGTATTGCACTTTGTTGGACGTTTCCTGCATCCCGAATCGGGCCGCTACATGGAAATACACAGCAATCAGCCAGGCATGCGATTTGAGACGGCCAACAAATTTCCCGACGACACCCGCGACGAGGAGCCCATTATGGGGAAAAGGTGTGCCCGATACTATCAGCATTCCGGCTTTAGTATCCAGCTGGAAAAGTTTCCCGATACCATGAACAATCTGGACTTTCCCACCGCCTTCATAATGCCGAGTGAACTGTACTTTAATGAGACCATCTTTAAGTTCGGCGTTCAGGAATCGTGGAAATGTTGCGCCACCCAAGAAGAGCTCGACAAAATCGGAGCTGATATCGTGCGTTATACCTAGCTGTCAAGCCGATAACTATCGATTCTTGTTTATTCTGGCCTTCTAAATGTGTATTAAAAAAACTATTGTCTAGACAAATTTACTTCATATTTGGATCGCTAATATGATGAATTACCGATAGCATATATTGAAGCTCAGGTTAGATGATTCCTTCTTTCCGATACTTAACAGACTTCTATGGTCATTTTAAACTGGAGCAAAGCTCTAGCTGCAGATATGGCAACGCTGCTTGCGACAAATTGTTATCGATTAGTAATGTTATCGATCGTCAGACTCGCGTTTCTCTCAAATTTTACTGAACATCTTGAGCAACTACTGCTCACTGCATTAGTTTAAACTAAGTTGCAAAGTCTTTGCTGATATGGCAACGCTGCTTGTTATCGATCATCATGCAATACTTTTGCTCAACGTTTAGCAACCTTTTTAAGCAGCTACCCAAATGCGAAACATCCATTTGAAACTAAGTTGCAAAGTCTTTGCCGATATGGCTAGCCTTTTTGTTAGCCTTGAACTTTGACCATATCAAATCGAACAGCTCAACCTGACGGCTGATGACGCGTTGCCACAGTAGCGTTAATTTGTTGACACTACGAGGCAAAAGACCTAGCCTGCGATATACGGTATGTGTGGTTCATAAATTTATTGTTTCGCAATCAGCGTATATTTATATTTCTTTATAGCTATCATAAAAAAAAAATTTGAAATGTGAAAGTTGAATCACTCGAGCAGATATCACGCGAAACGCCATATAGTTTAACCGTTATACAGTTGACAGAAATATTAAATTTTATATGACAGGGGGTAAAGCAAACGTAATTAGTTTTTAGTCAAGCTCATATGAAGACATCATAATTATGCATGACGTTGCGCCGCACGGAAGCTGAATGCAAACGATGTGAATAGAATTTTTTACATTTTTTAGAGGTTTTCCTACCACCTCCCCTTCGCTTCCTGCTCCATCCACTAGTGGTACTACTCTAGTACTCAGCAACGCTAGCCTTTCGGGTTAATTGCACAGCTCCCACACATTCTGGGGCACTACTTGAAGGGTGCTCGCACAATGTCTAATGTTTTTTTGGGGTCGTTCAACGAGAGTCTGATGGGCCTTCTGGCACACAGTTACAGCATTTGCATAACGTGCTCCAAACCAATTAAAACAAAAATAAAAAAATGAGAAACAAAAAAAGAAATCAAGTTGAAACGTTTTCAGTCAAGCGCAAACGACTGCACAATACTCGCTCATAGTCCAAATGCAGCTGGACTTGTGGGGGGGAAATCTTGTAAGAATTATATGAGTGGATAGTATCCGACTAGAAGATGCCTTAACACTGCTTTAAAGACTGAACAATGGTAGGTAGATTGATGGGAATTACATATCTTAACTATGCATTGGTTATATGCTAATAAAACTAATTTTGAAATTAATTGAAACAATACAAATATAATTGTATTTTGAGCCTGACTTGCCATTTCTATGGGTTCAGTGTATCAAAATGTAATCCTTGGGGCATATACTATTGCCACGCCTGCAAGTGTCTTGAATCCTATCCTAATCAATCAATCCACGGAGTGGGTCATCAATAAAGCTCCTGTCAACCGACACTTTCAGCTGACTCCAAGACTTTTTTCCCCATTTGCCACACCCCATATGATGGTAATTACAGAACTCAGATGTGTGTATGCAACGCTTGCAGGATTGACTTAAGAGCCTAGGGTAGTGCCCGATTTATGATGATGCCCACAATCAAATCCAACTTTCAACGCACTGGCCTAATATACTCGCTTCAAATCAGTGCGAACGCGTATGGAAAATGTGAAAAGCTAACGAAATGCCAAAGCAGGCAAATGTGTGTGGCTGTTGAGTTCGCAGTAGTTATATATACTCTATGGAGGATATCCTTTAAGGAAGGTAAACAAAGTGCAGCTCAACGAGCTGACTAATGTGTGCGTGTGCGTGTGTGTGTGTGTGTGTGTCTGAGTGTGTGTGTGTGTGTGTGTGTGTGTGTGTCTGAGTGTGTGTGGCGCCCTTTGTCTGAAATGGTATTATTTGCATTCATATTAGTTTCTTTGTTGGTCGCAAATTAGAGTATCGCATATTTCATAAGGCGTGCACTGGGCGCTGGGCTATAAACGATTCGACAAACGCTTTTCCAACTTGGCTGTGAAAGCGCTTTGCTAACGAACGGCCTGGCATCCGGAATTCCAATTTATTTCTTGAGCTTGAACGGAAAACTTGGCTTCATTGTTGTGTGAAAACCAAGTTAACGAACCGCTTCTTAGACACAGGTGTATTTCTAGATTCCAGATGCAAATTGAGCTACGAATATGAAATGTTGATTGTGAAATTGTGGCGAAACTTAATCAAGAAATTTATATAGAATATGTATGTAAGGATTATTTAAGTTAGAGGATTTTGAGGCGAATCTGTGTAGTCCAACAGATAGAATTCATTAGGACGATCGATACAGACAGCTGAGTTAATATAGCCATGTCCGTCTGTGCGTCCGTCCGTCTCTGACTTTGTTTGACTATTTTACTTTGTCTGTCTGTGTGCTAGATTTTCCATCTATCTATTTATCTATCCGTGTATTTATCTTTTTTGCCAGTCCATCTCTGTCTCTCTCTCTCCGCATCTCTACTATCTCCCTCTATCTATCTCTCTGTCTCTGTCTCTGTCTCAGTCTCTCTCTCTCTCTCTCTCTCTCTCCTCTCTCATTGTTCCTGTCTCCCTCTCTCTCTGTCTCTGTCTCTTTCTCTCTCTCTCTTTCACTCTCTCTCTCTCTCTTTGTCCCTCTGGCATGCCTGCTGTTCGTCCGTCTGTCTCTCCATTCCTTCGCTTTTTTGATATTTCGTTTGCCTTCCTGTCCCTCCTTCTAATCATATGCTTCACTCTGCGACCTTCTCTCTTACCCTTACTTTTTCAATTTCTCTCTGCCTCTATTTTTTCCATCTCATTCTTTCTCTTCCACTCCCCTTTCTCTCCCACCCTCTTTTTCATACCATCATTCCCTCCTTGTGTTCCACCTGATAGCTCATCTGACCTTATACTGCGATTAATCTCAATTCTGGTCAATACAAAGTCCTGCTTGTCAGATCTTCAATATTCTATGCCATATCATCATGATTGGCTCTATTCAATCAATTCATTTAACTGGACTAGATCGCAACATTTGATATTTTGCACAACTATTTGAACTTTAAGTTCTGACCATGACCTAGATGGAAAATGCAGTTCGAGCTTGCAAAAGCATTCCGATTAGATTGTTTCAATATGGATTGACAGCTGCTAGGGCAACAAATTGACATTTTCTTGACTTAATCAAGTCAAACAAAAGCGGACGTTACAAAACTGAGCTGGGCTGGGCTGGGCTGAGCTGAGCTTCGTCTTAATGTAATGTCCACACACTCACACACACTTGCACTTAAATTATAAATGCGTGGGTGTGGGTGTGTGTGTGTGTGTGTGCGTGTGTGGTTGAAAGTGGCGTCATAAAAACAATGGCATCACCACATCAGAGCAGCGCGTCGAGCGGAAACCAGCTAAAAGGCCACGCAGTGAAAGCCAGATAGAGGCAACACACACACACACACACACACATACACATAGATGCCAGCCAGAGACAATGAAGCTTTGCCACCGAGACCGAGCGCAAAAGTTACGCCAACAACAACAACAACAACAGCAACAACAACAAAAAGGAAAACTTTATGGTCATGCCTTGGTGACAACTCGATGTTGTTGTAGTTTTTTATTTTTTGTGTTTTTTCATGACGCCAATGATGAAGGCAATGATACTATAAAATAAAGTATTGCATATGCCAAGGCTAAATACGTTTTCACAAAAGTTAAGTTGAACAAGAAGAAGCAGAAGAAACGGAGCAACACGAAAAAAGAAGCAAAAACTAAAGGCGAGGGTTAACCCACTCACAAAGCCAAGCCATAAAATTCAAGAGGAAATTCAAATAAAATTTGGAGCACTGCAAATGCCATAAAATTGATTTCGATATGAAGAATTATTGCAGCAAAAACTTGTATGTGTGTATTAAAATATATGAACAGAAATTAATACAACAAAATGGAGTATATTAATATTATAATACTGCAAGCCTTTTCTAACTAATCGAACTGACCTCGCGGAACATAACTGTTTGATAAATTTGCACTGCGAACAGAGCTGCTAAATACTTGCATATAACTCGCTCTCTCTTTGACACACTCTCTCTCTACTCTCTCCTTCTCTCCTTTGCTGTCGCTTCTCGCCCATTGCTTTTTGTTTATGAATGCAATTTGATTTCTTTTTAGGTCAACGAATGTTGCTCATTTGACATTTTTTACTGATTTCAAGTTGGAACACGATATAAACATATGTACATATGTACATATATGTATGTATATGCATACATGTGCATATATCTAGGTATGTATGTATTTGTGTCTATCCTGTATGCTTGTGTGCTTGTGTGCGTGTGTGTCTGTTAATGTGTGTATTTATAAATGTGTGAAAGTTTATCCTGACGCCTTGGCTATTCCCGGCCCCAGGCTAGGCATGAATGTGCCCATGCATGCGTGTGTGTGCGTGGGCGTGTGTGAGTGTGTGTAACAGCTTTGGCTAACAATTTTAATTTCTTGACTGCTTTTATCGCATTTTGGTATTCGCTCTATATAACGGAATGTGGCAGAAGCAGACCAAGTAGGAAAACCAAAATAGGAATCATGCAAGGAATGTGACTAATGTGTGTGCGTGTGTGTGTGTGTGTGTGTGCGTGGATATAATTCTGAAGTGAAATCCCACAAAACAATAACAACACTAAGACGCTTCCGTGTCCTTGTTTCAGTATGTGTGCACGCGTGTGTGTGTGTGTGCGTGAGTGCGTGAGTGCCAGAGAGTTCCAAAAACAAAGGGAAGAAGAATGGCGAAACAAAGCCCAGCGAAGCATAACGGCACACCACAGCAGCAACTCTAATACACTGCACTACAGGATCTCGAGGCGCAAATGAAAAACAGACAGCAAATAATTATAAAATTAATGATTATTTTCTATCCATACTTTTCTACGGAGTTTTAATTATAATAAAT